CTTGTGATTGGAACTGTTGGGGCAGTGTTGTGTGGGGTGCTACTTCCCATTTTTGGATTACTAGTTTCTACTGTCATCAAGACATTTTACCTGCCCCCGGATCAGCTGAAAAAGGATACCAAGTTCTGGGCTCTCATTTACATAGTTCTTGGGGTGACAGCACTAGTAGCACATCCATGGAGAGCATACTTCTTCTCAGTCGCGGGATGTAAATTAATCGAACGTATTCGATCACTGTGTTTCGAGAAGGTGGTTCGTATGGAGGTAAGTTGGTTTGATGAACCTGAACACTCAAGTGGGGCGATTGGTGCAAGACTATCGTCCGATGCCGCATCCGTGAGAGCTCTAGTCGGTGATTCGCTGTCTCAGAACATAGGCAACCTTGCATCTGCAGTTGCAGGTTTGGTCATTGCTTTTGTTGCAAGCTGGGAATTGGCTCTCATCGTTCTTACTCTCATTCCTCTCATTGGAATCAATGGCTATATACAAATCAAATTCATACAGGGATTTAGTGGTGATGCCAAGGTATATATATATGGTCACCTAATTCCTCTCATGGGTTTTAATTTGCATAGCTCATAAAGGGTTGGTTTGGCTATGCAGAGTATGTATGAGGAAGCCAGCCAAGTCGCAAATGATGCAGTAGGAGGCATAAGAACAGTTGCTTCTTTCTGTGCAGAAAATAAAGTGATGGATATGTATAAAACCAAATGTGAAGCTCCTCTCAAAACAGGGATAAAACAAGGCCTCATTAGTGGAGTTGGCTTTGGGGTCTCCTTCTTAATATTGTTCAACGTATATGCCCTCACCTTCTACGTAGGATCCCTTCTCGTGCAGCACGGTCGAACGACGTTTCCTGATGTCTTTCAAGTAAATCAATGTTCTACCCATCTCTTTTGCTGCTTGTTTCATATTTGATATCTCTTTTAATCATATATGAGAAGCGCAGGTGTTCTTTGCCTTGTCAATGGCAGCTACTGGAATCTCTCACTCGAGCTCCATGACTCAAGACACTACCAAAGCCAAGGCTGCTGCTGCTTCCGTGTTTGCAATTATAGACAGACCCTCCAGCATCGATCCCAGCGACGAATCTGGGACGGTATTAGGCGATGTGAAGGGAGAAATTGAGCTTAAACATATAAGCTTCAAGTACCCTTTAAGGCCAAACGTCCAAATATTCAGAGACCTGTGCCTGCACATTCGTCCTGGCCAGGTTGGTTGCTAAAAAAATCATATTCCTTTAATGATTATGATGTTGAGGATGGTTGGGAGGCAGTCCCAACTTTAGTTAATTTAGGGAATGATCATGGGTTTATAAGTAAGGAATGCATCTCCATTGGTATGATGCCTTTTGGGGAAGCCCAAAACAAAGCCATGAGAGCTTATGTTCAAAGTGAACAGTATCATACCAATGTGGAGATTTGTGATTCCTAACATGCTATCAGAGTCATGCCCTTAACTTAGCCATGTCAATAGAATTCTCAAATGTCGAACAAAGAAGTTGTAGGCCTCGAAGATATAGTCTAAAGTGACTCAAATGTCGAATAAAGGGTGTACTTTGTTTGAGGACTTCAAGTAGTCGATCTTCGATTAAGGAGAGGCTATTCGAGGGCTCCGTAGGCCTCAAGGGAGGCTCTATAGTGTGCTTTGTTCGATGGGAGGATTGTTGGGAGAGGAGTCCCACATCGGGTAATTAAGGGATTGATCATGAGTTTATTAGTAAGAAATACATCTCCATTGGTATGAGGCCTTTTGGGGAAGCAAAGTTACGAGAGCTTATACTCAAAGTGAACAATATCATACCATGGTGGAGAGTAATGATTTCTAACACATGATTATGATTATGATTATGATTATGATTATGATTATGATTATGATTATGATATGGTGTTTGTGTTTGATCCATCCAGACAGTAGCTCTGGTGGGAGAAAGTGGAAGTGGTAAGTCGACAGTGATAGCGCTGTTACAGAGGTTTTACGATCCTGATTCGGGCAGCATAACAATCGACGGAGTAGAAATCAAAGAGTTTCAGCTGAGATGGCTGAGACAGCAAATGGGGCTGGTGAGCCAAGAGCCAATGCTGTTCAACGAAACCGTACGAAACAACATAGCATACGGCAAGGGAGGGGAGGCGAGCGAGGATGAGATAATAAGAGCAGCGGAGTACGCGAATGCGCACAGGTTCATCAGTGGATTACAACAAGGATACGACACAAATGTCGGGGAGAGAGGACTGCAGTTGTCGGGTGGCCAAAAGCAACGAGTGGCCATTGCTCGAGCCATCATAAAGGACCCAAAAATACTACTGCTCGATGAAGCCACGAGCGCACTGGACGCAGAGTCGGAACGAGTGGTGCAAGATGCATTAGACAGAGTGATGGTGAATAGAACCACCGTCGTGGTGGCTCATCGGCTCTCGACAATCATGAATGCTGACGTGATCGCTGTTGTTAAGAACGGAGTCATCGTCGAGAAAGGCAAGCACGAGAAGCTTATTGCGATCAAAGACGGGTTTTATGCCTCTTTAGTTCAGCTCCACAGTTCAGCTGCTGCTTCCTCTCCTCCCAACACCTAAGTCCTAATGGACTTCAACTCTGTGCTTACCTTTCTCTTTCTGCATATTATGTATAACAGAGAATCGTGTTTATTTTAAGTTGTATTTGTTGAATTAATTTAGGTGAATCATAACTTTATAAATTTAGTCAGTAGTGTTATCTTATAAATGTTACTTTCATTTCTAGTTTTCTTATTTTTTTAGAAATGTTTTTGAAGATCAAATAAAATTTAAAAGAAGAAAATAATTGTGATGCTTTAGTAACACATAAATTCACCACATTCAAAGGAAAATGATTCTAGCCATTAAAAAAAAAAAATTAATAAATCGATATATTTCATAATTTTAGAATGTATATATAACGCGTGCGTGTGCGTGTGTGTTCTCTCATGCTCGGGACTTCCTCTTGCTTAGTGTGGCATCTAGCTTCTTCGTCCTTGTAGGGTATTTTTAACAATTAACTCACCCTTTAAGTTCTAAGCAACAACGATCAAACCCTACTCCTAAATCATGTCTCAAAATAAGAGGACTCGGTTCATTATTCATCGTTCATAAGTCATTTAGTTGAATATGTTCAACCTAGAAAACATGGAGGACAATTCAAGCTTAATTAGTCCTACCGATGATTCTAGAATTTGTTTTCAAGTACCTTCGATATACTCTAGGTTCATGGTCTCATAAATCTGAATAAGACAACTAGACATATAATCTAATGCACAACGAATTAATTCAAATAACTAATAGCTAAGATTCTCTGATCGAGTTAATCTAACTAACACGAGGTCTTAAATCAAAGTTTCATGTTCGTAGGCACGCGTATATTCACCCTACAAACTTAAACATAAGCTTAACATGGTTGGCATATTATTTAAAGTGACTTTCACGCTCATTTTTATTGCCTTGGGTTAACCTAACCAATGTAACACCGTGGTGCAAGTTTCTAAATCTGCATACTTTTTGTCCCTTTGGCTCAAACAAAACATATTGAACATACCCAAGTTGGTTCCTACCCGTATTTCATTACATGTTCAGGCGTGTTTGATTTTCCTGCTTCCTCAACTTCGAATGTCATCTAATTTCTCAAAGAAGTCCTAATTCGAGTTAATATAAGAGAATCCGTGAAAACATATAAAATTGAAGGTGTTCAATCCCGTTCAATTGAAATGGCCACATCATCATCCTCACCTCTAAACAATGAAGGTTTTTCTCTCAACCAACCCATCTTAGGCCTCAAATGGACTCGTGGTCATCACCCAATTCTTAATTCTTAATCGACTAAACCAACTGAATCAATTGTTTTTGAATATCCACAAAATTAAATCTAAACTCAGCATTTACGAGGATTAGCGTTTGTCAAATCTTCATAAATATTTCATAAATGCTTTGAAACCATTATTGGAGTACAAATAAATTAAAATATTATACAAAAAGTTGACAGGACAATAACATAGAAGGACGTGGCAATATGAGATCCCACATCAGTTGGGAAAGAAAACGAAATACCCTTTAGAAGAGTGTGAAAACCTTTTTCGCGTTTTAAAAATGTTGAGGAAAAAACCAAAAATGAAAGCGGATAATATCTGTTAGCGGTAGGCTTGGGCCAGTATAGACAATGGCAAGAGCACTTGTCCAAATCAAGTCTAATGAGCGAACAACCCAACCCTTGGAACATACTACAGCCCGAGGTGGCGAAGAGCTGACATCGAGGTGCCAAACCTTCCCGTCGATGTGAGCTCTTGGGGAAGATCAACCTGTTATCCTTAGAGTAACTTTTATCCGTTGAGCGACAACCCTTCCACTTGGCATCGTCGGATCACTAAGGTTGACTTTCGTTTCTGCTTGATGGGTGGGTCTTGTAGTCAAGCTCCCTTCTGCCTTTGCACTCGAGGGCTAATCTCCGTCTGGCTCGAGGAAACCTATGCACGCCTTCGTTACCTTTTGGGAGGCCTACTCCCCATAAAAACTGTCTACGAGAGACTATCCCTTAGCCAGTAGGTCTTGACACAAGGTTAGAGTTCTAGCTCTTCCAGAGTGTTATCTCACTAATGGCTTGGGCTATAATGCGTAAAAAAAGAAAAAAAAGGGGGTCGGTCAAAGTCAAAGGGGCAAAATGGGCATTTTACCCCTCAGCCCATTATAGGGGTCTTGAGGGTTCTCAGCAGAATACGTGCAAAACAGAGAAGTGTGAGAAAGAATTTAGAGAGAAAGCTTGAGAGAGAAAAGTGAATCGCCGAAGTCCTCGTCCAAGAATCACCAACGAAATTCATCCTCTGTTGAGACTTACACTCTAGAATTTCTTCTTGAAGAAGAAAAACTCGTGTTGCTGAGGTTTCTTCTTTCGTCAAGATCCGAGAGAAATCCGCAAGGTAAGATCCCGAACGTTACTCTTCAGATCTGAGATCTTCGTTTAGAAATGGAGTGTTAAAGTTTACTATCTTCATCTAAGGAAGATCCGCCATTGATTTTGTGAGGAAATCGGACGAAACATCGAGATCTGAGAATCTTTCCAAGAGCGGTAAGGATGTTATCGAACCTCTTTCCAACGCTCATAACTCATCGTATGATTAAGTAAAAATCAAGAAAAAATATTGGCATGTAGGTTGAAGTATGATCTAAAACTTTGTTGAAGAAGTCATTACGGTTTGGATTAAGAATCGAGAGATAGAAAAATGAGAAGAACGTCGGAAAACTAATCGGAAACTTTGTTTTCTCCTAGGAGGAGAGAGAAGCCGACGGCGTGCCATGTGTCAACCGACTAGAGGACCGCGTGTGCCAACAACCTTCGGACACGCGTCAAACACCTCTTGAGAAGACGCGGCTCCAACCTTCCTGCGACACGCGTCCCCGGCAACGAAACCCGACCAGCGTCCCTCGGTTGACTCGGTACCCGTGCGGTGAAACAAACCGAACCGACGACCCACGGCTGCAGGAAATCTTGGGGTGTGTGACACTCGCGCGTGGAACTTGCGAGTGATTGCATCCCGACGTGTGGCTGGGGCGTGGAAATGCGTGTAAGCCCGTTTTCGTCCCGTTCGACTTCTATTTTCCCTATTTTCCTCCCGATTTCAATCCTAACTCCATTTTATATGAAATAGGACCTAATTGAGGAAAAATCACTACCTTTCGATACGCCAATTGTGTGGAAATCCTGCGTAAGGGCACACATCATCCAAGTAAGCTACCACACTGAACTTTAGGAAGAAATACTTGTAGGAGTCGCTTGGAATGCATGCATGCTAGTTTAATTATCTTAGGTCGTAGCTTTTCGTGATAGAATATAGGTAATTGATTATTAAAAGTAAGATGTATTGATGTATTATGTGAATTATTATGAGAATTACCTGAGTATTGTTATTATGCTTTAAGTTTCCCCTTATTATGTATATGTATATTTCATGCTGAAAGGAGGATGAGAAATTGTGAACTCTATGCTCCGGGAGTTGATGGATGTTATCGCCCCGTTGAGCTTGTATGTTTACTTTGCATGAAAAATGTATGATGTTGTTGGATGATAGTTATGTACGTACTCAGTTAATTTTCATGACCCACATTTATGATTAAGTCCACGGATTTGTGGTTAGAGTAACAAGATACTAAGTATAGACCTAACCTTTCCCCTAGTAACATAAGAAATTACCACGATAAACAAACTACCTCTATGGAACCCTTAGATTAACTATGTGTGATTGGTGTTAATGCTTCGTGGGAGACCAGGGGGTTCCTAATCAGGGCTCGTCTACTCTAAAGCCGTTTTAGCATGGGAAATGAGAGACCCACGTTGAAACGGACCATTTAGCTGGATGGGAATAGGGGAGGTAGCCCTCCCCGAATAATGGAGATTATCATGGGACTAGGGGGTTGCAGCTCACTTCCTAGATATGACACTAGGTAGCCTCATAGCCATGACGAGGTAGCTACTCGTAGAGTACCAGTCAAACACAGGATGGTGTAAGGGAACTCTTAAGGTATAAATGGTAGGACGAAGTACCAAAGAAGCCCTAAGGAGCTAAGACCTGAACTAGATGTTCTAAAGCCAAGGAATAAGACCGTGGAAGTTTGTCGTAATTGGGATGCGATAAGAGCTTACAAGTAGGTGGCTTACTGAGTATAATTTTATACTCATTCTTTCTATACCTTTATTTTTCAAGTACGTGAGACAATGGGTCAAGAGAGGGCGCGTTGAATGATGTGGATTGGCACAGAGGAACGTGTCCCGGGACGTCAGTTTGGTCTTATGGAGTAGTACACTTTGTCTTTTGTGTTTCTTTCCTTGTCTTTATCTATACACATATGTCCTCTTGGTGTTGAAACGTTTTAAATAAATGAAATACTTTTGAAATAATGTTTCCCTTGAAATTCTTTGTGAATGTTTGATTAATCCACCACACCTAAATGGTGTGAAAGTTATCTTATTTATAATCAAATGAATTACAAGGATATGGAAATAGTAATAAATGGAAA